GGAAGGGGGAGCACTCTGGATAATGGGTGATGAACAACAGAAAGGCAGCCGGAGAAAGTGTGGGATCCAGTAGGACAACAGGAATCCAGAAGGCTGGATATTACAAATCCCTCAGCCCATCCCCAAACACAAAAGCTATACATTAACGAGTCTGCAGTTGTAGATCATTTGCTATAGGACTCTGCGTGTTCTTAGATGTCTGTATCTGTCTCTCACTGGATTTTTGCATCAATGGGCAATGCATGGGAGCTGAATGAAATAGTGTACCTTTCCACAATTAAAAAATTCCATTAAAAATATATATACAATATCTGTATAGACTCATATGTCTGACATGTTTCTTCCTCACCCAAAATTAGCAAATTTAGAACGTTTTGCTTGTTTGACAATTTCTTTTTGGTTAAACGTGAAATGGCATATTGAAGTTGTGGGAAATGATTACATTGACTGGTCCCAAAATGGTTTCTAATTATGGAAGCTAGGAAGCTATAAAATTTATTGAAATTTAGCTCTCAGGAAAGAAATTGACCGAATATCTTTTTTCTCTTTAATACCTTATCTATTCAATACTTGTGAAGATTCAGTAGACCTGATAATAAGTGTCGAGCTGATTGCTGTTTCAAGAGACACATCTGAAATACAAGGATACAGGACAGTTAAATATAAAACAACACAAATAGAAAAGGACAGGTTATGAAATATAAGTGGAAAACAAATCTGAGTAGTTAATATCAGACACTATAGACTTTAGGTGAGAAGCATTACTGGAGACAAAAATTGTTACTCATATAACTAAGATGAATTGTTTCACTGGGATGGTATGGTACCTCACACTATAATTGTAAATGTGTATGCATCTAATGATGTGTTCTCAAAGTGTCTACAGCAAAAACTGAAATAACAAGAAAAATTAGAAAAAGAATAGAATCATAGTGGGAGAATTTAAAAATCTTCTTAATGAATACTTTCTAACATTCATAAAAGTAAAACTTACCCATGCCCAGCACATGGCTTCAGTGATAACTAACTCCTGGCTAATTTTCTTTCCTTTATTTTCCCACCCACTTTCCACCTCAACTCCATCCCCTACCACACTCCCAAATTACTATGAAACAATTCCCATACATCAAAACACTTTCTTTTAAATGTTTCAGAGTTTATCTTAAAAGACAAGAAATCTCTAAATAACTTCAGTAATATTGTAACACTTCTCTAAATCAATAACTAATATCATTAAATACTGTGATTCTTTTTCTCAAATATTCATAAATTTACAGTTCCTTTGATTCATGCCATCTACGATTTTAGTACTCCTGATATCTGACTCTTCATGTCTCCGTCCCTGTTTAAATATTCTTAATAGCATTTGCCATTAACATGCTAATAGTTTGCTTATCCCCATGTTGAGCATCTGTCTGTTCAGGATACTACCTGGAATATAATTACCTATCCGTATAATTGTTGAAGAAATGAGTAAGTTTGGAATTAGATAAAAATTCCTGTATTTTGCTAATAAATTATGAGAGGTCCAAGAATAATATAAGGCTTGTAATGCCCACTTCTCTCTCTTTCATCACAATGGGAATGCTAGGTGAAGGATGCACAAATGTGTAAGGATGCAATGCTTTGAATTCACAGGCAAAAATACGCCTGTAGGTAGTAACAGTACAAATAGAATCCAAGGACCCACATCATCCTGTAGACATGAAATCCACTGAAAGCTTTCTCTGCCTGTTGTTTTGTTTTTATTTTTAATTAAAAATATTTCAATTAAGGTATAATTGAATTATAACATTATATTAGTTTTATGTGTACAACATAATGATTTGATATTAGCACATATTGCAAAATGATCACTATGGTAAGTGTAGTTAACATGTGTCACCATATGCAGATGGAAATTTTTGTTTTCTCGGGATGAAAACTTTAAGACCTCCTCTCTTAGAAACATTCAAATATGCAGTACTGTAATATTAACTATAGTCACCATGCTGTGCATTATATTCCCAGGACCTAATTACTTTATAACTCAAAGTTTCTACTTTTGAACTCCTTCACCCATTTTGTCCACCTCTGTCCTCTCATCCTGGCAACCACCAATCTGTTCCCTTTATTTATGAGCCCTGCTTTTGTGTTTGATTCCACATGTGAGATCATCCAGTATTTGTCTTTCCCTAAGTTATTTCACTTAACCTGATGCTCACGGGTTTCATCAAAGTTGTTGCAAATGGCAAGAGAATAATATTCCAGTGTGTGTGTGTGTGTGTGTATTCCATTTTCTTTAGCCATTCATCCATCAGTGGACTCTTAGGTTGTTTCCATATATTGTCTGTTGTAAATAATGCTGCAGTGAAGGCATGGACTGAACTTCCATACTGCTTTCCACAGCCGCCAAGCCAATAAACATTCCCACTAATAGTGCACAAGTGATCCTTTGTTTTCCACACCCTCACCAGCACTTGTTATTTCTTGTCTATTTGTTACAGTGATTCTAATGGGTATGAGGTGTTATCTCCTTGAAGTTTTGATTTGCATTGCCCTGATCATTAGTGAAGCTGACCACCTTTTCATGTACCTGTTGGCCATCTGTATGTCTACTTTGAAAAATGTCTATTCAGGTCCTCTGCCCATTGTTTAATCAGATTGTTTATTCTTTCTGCTACTGAGTTGTATGATTTCTTTNGTTGATATTTTCATACGATCATATTACAGTAGGTATGTAATAAGCATCTGTCACATGCAAGGATTGTCAAGGGGAAGAGTTATAGTGAAACACACAGCACCATGAGATGAGGGTGGCCAAGGCAGGACTTCGTTTGACTGACAGTAAGAACCACAGGCACTGTCTCCAGGCCCCCTGCCCAGTTCCTAACTCTACCAAGTCCCTGGTTTGGTGGATCTGGTGTCAGGCCTGGGCACTGAAGTTGTAAACCACTGGTGGTTAGAATGGCCAGCCCAGACTCAGCCCCACTGTTCTAAATGTTTTCAAAATAGAGGGGAACTAAGGTGAGTTGTCTGACTGTTATCTGTCAGCAGAGGGTTGTAATTATACAGAATTTACCTAAATAATACCTTGCCAGTGGGCAGGGAAGTGTGTTGTACTTTGTTTTCTAAAGGAGGGACAAAGGCTCCCGTGGTAAAGGTCACATTCCCACCAGCATTCATTTCAGAACCAGGGAGACTGCCTGTCTTATCTGGGCCTTCCAGGCACTGAAGTGTCACCCTCCTCTTACTGACCTTTCATGGAGAAAACATGGAGAGCTGGGGGATGATCCATGGGCTAGATGGGCCTGAGTGGGTGGAAGGACTTTTTAGGGATAGAGCTTGGAGGGAAGGTGTTCCAGTTGGGGAGAACAGTTGACTCCAGGTGTGAAGGTAAAAAGTAAGCCAGGAATAACTCTTGGTTTCCTGGGTGACTCTGGCTAGACAAGAGCAGAAGATTCAATTGCACTGGTATTGCCAGGCCAGATTGCAAAATGCCTTCCCTTACAGGAGAGCAAGTCAGGCACTGGCCATGGGACAGGGGAGCGAATTGTTGGTGAGGTAGCAGAGACTTTTGAAAAAATTTTCTCCTCTGTATTTTCCATATTTTATGTAGTGGTCTTTGTTGCATTTATAATCATAAAGGGATGACAAGGCTGCTGTGGAAGTGGTCTTTAGAGATGGTGAATCAGGCAATGTTATGCTGGATGGAATCAACCCAATAGTGAGGGTCTAGGAGCAGGGAGAGGGCCTTGGAAGTCCAGAGAGAGTCAGGGTCTGGAGAAACACTTGAAGCAAAAATTGACAGAACTGTGTTACAGGTAAGATTTCAACATTCAGTCAGGGCATTCTGCTGTACTGCCTAGGGGCATAAAAGCCAATCTGCACAGAACAGGGGTTCGCATGGGCATTGGCACTTTAAAATCCTTCCCTTGTGGGTATAACCTGCAGACACATGCATGAACCCCTGAAGTAGAAAGTGAACCATAAAGATCAATGACTGAGAATATCATGGAATATTGGGGCAAAACATGCTAAATGTCACACTGTGTGTGCATAGCCAGTTGCCTGTCCTCTTCTGTCCCTGATCCCCTTCTTCTTTTGCCAGACACCTTCTACCAGCTTTTCCACTCCAGCCTCAGACATCCCACCTCCCTCTGGTGGATCCTGACTTCACTGCTTTTCTTCCTTATACTACCACCTCTAGAGGTCTTGGAGAATCCCACGTGACCATGTCTCCATGGACCTAATATGAGTAGAGGCTCTAGATGGCCCTGACACCATCGTAAGGGTTCCAAAGTAGAAAGATGTTCCTATCAATAGAATGGGTGTGAGAAGAATGCAGAAGAAACTGAGCTATGAGCTGTGAGTCGCAGAGGCCATGAGAGCAGTTTCAGGACAGCGAGCTCCAGAATGGCAGGGGGGTTGTTCAGTTAATATCTGGCTTCCACTGCATGGCTGTGTAGGCTTTTATGAACCACTTTGTTCCTCTCCTTTCCTTACTTCCCTCTCTCCAGGAATTTGAGGATTTCATTGCCAAGTTTGGTGACTCCGGCTTTGTCCTGGTGGCGCTGGGCTCCTCGGTGAGAGTCTTTCAGTCCCCGGAAATTCTCAAGGAGATGAACAATGCCTTTGCCCAGCTCTCTCAAGGGGTGATATGGAAGTGTAACCCTTCTTTTTGGCCCAAAGACATCCAATTGGCAGCAAATGTGAAGATTGTGGGCTGGCTTCCCCAGAATGACATCCTTGGTAAGGGCTGCTCAGGTCTGCTTCTTTCTTGATTATGTGTTTAGGGCCCATCAAGGCTGTGGCCTTTAAGTGGGCAATGCTGTCAGGATGAGTAAAGGTCTGATAGCTAAAGGGAAGTCTTCAGAGGGCAGGAATGGAGCCGCCAGCTGGAGATCTTGGGGAATCAGTCTCTACCTCCATAGAGAACAGATGACCAAACAGCCTTTGCCCTCCATTCTTTTCTATTTTAGGTCAATGTCAGCAACCATAGACCAAGTGCATTTGGTCTAGTAAAGGTCACTTAACCACAATCAAAAACAATCTGTGGATGCTGAGAAAACTTATCAGGGAGTAGTCACACTGTGTGTAGTGGCTTCATGAGCATCCTCTCGCCGTGTGTCCTCACACATACATACACACACATCCTCCTTTGCTACAGGTGTGAATAACTCATACCTTAAGAACACTGATGGTAATGGTGTCTTTAAAAGTGATGAAACCCCTGAGGCCAAGCTGAGCCACCTCATATCCAGTTGTTTACTCCATTGCGTCTTTGCTACCAGGGAGTTCCCTCAGCCCCCAGCAGGTTTTCCCTGTGCCCAGTGCTTCTTCTTACAGACTCCTCATTGCCGTAGCCACTGACTGTTTCAGAGGTTCATAACCTATGCTATGAACCAAAAACATCTGGGGAATATAAGGAGCAGATTCCTGGTTCTACTTCTGTAAATGTATTTCTTTAATTCTGGGGCAGGACACATGATTCTAATTTCAAAGAAGAGACAGGGAGATCCAGATGCACATCCCAGTTGAGCAGCACAGTCTGAGATGAACTGTTCATAATCAGTGATCATTTTAGTTAGCTCTAAATAAGGAGGGTTTGGAAATGCTGGAACTGGAAATACTGCGGTACAGAGCTCCATCTCTGCTTTCAAGGGACTAGTCATTTTTTGAGGAGAAAACAGGGACTGTCAGTTTTATGAGTGCCATGTGATTTGTGATGTCAATGACTGTGTCCAGAATTCAGGAAGAGGGAGATTATATGGCAGATGAGAAAAGACTGCTCATAACAACAAGAGAGAGAGACAGACAGACAGACAGAGACAGAGACAGAGAGAGTCAGAGGGACATGTAAAGAGAAAACAGAGCTGAGGGAAGGCACAGGGGTGATAGAAGGAAGGAAGCTTGGGTGGATACATAGAGATATGTTCCTGTCTTAGCACTATTTTCTACAGAATTCCCTGGATTCTGAGTCTTTGTTTAAATCTTATCTATGGCAAGGTATCTTAATAAAAGGCAAGGGTAGGAATTCTGTATGTTGGAAACAGCTCCTGGGATATGTTCCAAGCATAATCATCGTTATAACAGCTCCAATGCACCTCTAACATTATCTTGATGTTTTCTTCTACTTTTGCCACTTTCCCTGGTGTTCTGAAACTCTCCATTCTGAAATAATCTGCTGTCCTTCTTATCTGCAACAGCTCACCCTCGCATACGTCTTTTTGTCACCCATGGAGGAATAAATAGCATAATGGAGGCCATCCAACATGGCGTGCCCATGGTGGGGATTTCCCTGTTTGGAGACCAGCCTGAAAACCTGCTCCGAGTAGAAACTAAACATTTAGGTGTCTCTGTCCAGTTAAAGCAGTTGAAGTCTGACACACTGGCTCTGAAGATGAAGCAAGTCATAGAGGACAAGAGGTACGTGACTCTCTGGGCTTGAGGTCACATAGGAACCATCAGGCATGAAGGGTACTACGTGGGTCTTCTTTGTAACACAAGCAGAAATGTTGAGGACATGCGCGTGAAGCAACAGCTGACTGTTTCCTCTGAGAGCCAGACTAGCCATATTAGGTTAGATGCTGAGAACAGTTTTCTAATTACGGGTTGTGAGAGACACACACTATCTACACAGAGTCCCCTGAAATGTCATATATTTTGGGGGCACTTGTATAGTAGAGTTCCCACTGAGGCAGGAGGTTGCTCTTCTGTCCAACATGCCACACTGTGCCTACCTCAGGCTCTTTGTCTGAGCTGCTCCCAAGAACACCCTTCCCTTCTGTTCACAGGCAGCTCCTTCATGACATTGGGGTATCATCTTCAGTGCTGTTTCTTCAGAGGCTGGTTGCTCTCTCACAGTCCTAACTAGACTCCTCTCCCACCCAGTCCAATCATAATTCATTATTTCCATCTTAACACTCCTTGGGATCTGTAACTACCCCATTGCTTTATGTTTTAATTTTTGTCTGTCCTGCCACAATAGAGTGCATATGCTCCCCCAGACAGCAACGTGTGTCTCTTGTTTCCACTATGTTCCTGGGCCCCTCCCAGGGCTGCCACAAATTAAGTTTGAATAAATTTCTGTTACCTGAGTGGATACATGGGGTCTCTTGATGTCTCTGGTAACCTCCAATCAGCACAATGTGAAAAGAAAAATACATATCTTGTTTCTCATAACTAAGAGGGACTGAGTAACTTGGAGTTTCAAGGGCATAAATCTGAATCAAATTTCAAGACTTAACATGTTACCTTGCACATAGGAGACATGCAAGCACTTTTTGTTATATGACGGGAAATAGCCACCCAGTTTATGACTCTCATCCTTGAAAGCTTGGTAAGCTGCAGGTGTTAGACAACCCCAGAAATTTGTTTATATTTGGTTTGTCATGTATTGCAAATGTTTGCATTGTGAAGAATGAATTTGTAACTTCTGTTGTATTTTCAAAGACTCAGACCTGAAATGTCAGTCATCCACAGGCCCCTGTGTTCGGGCCTGTTGGACTGTGATGGTCTCTAGACATTGTACCTCAGGGCAAGGTTAATGATTTGTGGGGCCTGATGGAAAATGGAAATGTGGAGCCACATTTTATAAGACTGAAGCATTTGAAGATTGTGACAGCAGAGAATTACGTCAAGCACAGAGGCCTTGTTCAAATATGTAAGCCACAGCTTGTGATGCGAGTGCTGGCCCACATGATGCTCTCTCTGCACGGCAGGAAGATGCAGGCCTCATCCAGGCCACGGTGCCCAAAGTCACATTTGTTACCTAGCCTGACAGTGGCAAAGTAGGTAGTCAATATCACATAGTTACTTATAGTTATGTAGGTATGATTATATTTCTATATATTTCACTATATATTACATATATATGTTACTTCATATCTATTCTGTCTATAATCCTGCTTGGGGTAGATATTAGACCCTATTAGTTCAGTGACATTTTTATAATCCAGCACGATCAGCACTAAGCATGGATCTTTGTATATAGGCCGCAGTTAGATCTTTGCAAAGGGGCCTGGCTGGATTGGCAAGGCCAAGATGACCAATTTTCCTTGACCCTGACTCTTTTGTGCGTATGGTGGAAAATGTGTGTCCATGTGTCATGAAAGATCTCTAAGACATCTAAGAGCATGTGAGTGATGCCATGCCCTGTCTCACCAACAGGTACAAATCAGCAGCGGTGGCCGCCAGCATCATCAGGCGCTCCCACCCCCTGACCCCTGCCCAGCGGCTGGTGGGCTGGATCGACCACATCCTCCAGACAGGGGGTGCAGCGCACCTCAAGCCCTACGCCTTGCAGCAGCCGTGGCATGAGCAGTACCTGCTAGACGTCTTCTTGTTCCTGCTGCTGGTCACCCTGGTCGCCGCGTGGCTCTGTGGGAAGCTGCTGGGCATGGTGGCCAGGTGGCTGTGTGGGGCCAGGAAGCTGAAGGAGGCCTGAGGCCATATGTGGCTCACCATTTCTCATGAACCTCCCTCCTGTTCTGGCCACCCTTGTTCTCCACATCATAGCCGTTTGCTCTTTTTGCTACAAATCCCTGCCTGCTGGCTTTGAAATTCTTTATTCAGCACTTGTGGAGTTTTTTATTTTCCAGTTAACAAGGGCTATTGTGTGACTCAGCCCTTGAGTCATTTGGACCAGTGTCCCTGAGAGCTAAAGCCTGGAAGCCCGCCTTCCCTGGCATGGCCCTCTGGGAGGCCCTGAGCCTGAACATCCCAGCCTCCATGGCCAGGATCTTCTCAGCCTCTTTCCCTCATCCTGCCTCCACCCCTTGTCATGGAATGACTCCTAAGACAGGTGCTTTGCTAATACTTCTCTGTTCTTTTTGCTTCTCTGCCAACTCTCCTCAAAGCTCGGGAAGCTACACGTATCCTTTTGACAAGGAAAGTAAGTTTTCACACTGTTATCTTCTCCCTCTCCCTGGCGAAGAGACTTCTGTCCGCATGCCTGGAATTCTTCCATATTGCCACTAACAGCTGTTAGGGAAAGTGGGAAGGTCTCTGCATTGCAGCTGGTAAGGACTCAGAGACCTGGGAGTGGGCATTGGGTTATCTGACCTTAGTGTTTGATACATCGTAAAGGGCCATGAAGCCTCCGCAATGCTTGACCCATCAAAGCAGAATTTCTTGTTATTTCCTGTGATTTTGTCCTGGCCTAAATAACAAATCAGCAAGCAGTCTTTTACACACTAAAAAATAAACCTTTAGTCTGTTTGTTTGAGTCTCCAACTGGGCCTGAGGCAGCCCCTGGTACAGACTTGGCCTCAATGAGTTTCTTAGTGTGAAGGGGACATACCGGCAGGGAAAGAAGGTGATGATGTCTGTCACAGAGCCCAAGCCCTCGATTCCTGTGCAGGTGAGAATGGGGAGCGGGATTGTGGCTGTTGATGCCAAGACAGTACAGGGAGGCCTATGTGGTGTCCCTCATGGGACTACTGCCTAGACCAGTGGGCACTGAGCCTTTGGTGCTGTAAGAAGGTTAAACTCCCCTTATTTCCAAGTTTGTAGAAAATGTGATTTATACATGGATTCTCCTTTCAATCAGCATGGCTCTGTGATCTTCTGTGCCAAAGACTTTGGGGTAATAACTAGAAGTTATCCACATCAAAATGTCCCCACATGGAGAATGAAGACTTTAGAATGTCTAATAGGCCCTCCACATACCACAATGTAACTCCATGGCATTCACATGGTAAGATCAATAAGAAGAACAAATAAAACTAACACTTTCCCATATGTGGAAAACTCAACATCAAATTCAGAAGTTTTTTTCCTGAGCTCCTATTACAAAGCTTTGTGGAGAGCTAGTGAGTTCAGAAAAATAGTGCAGACAAGAGGAAAAGGGGACAGAAGGCCCTTGGATGAGCCAGGACTATACCCAGAAAGAGAAAATCTGCATCCCATATGGAAATCCTGAACAAGAGTCCTGGCAGAGCAAAGCTTTGACCAAGGGAAAGGGACACAAAAGCATGAGGGACCCACAGCATCCACCTTGGAAAAGGCTCTGTGTCTGAGCGAGAGGAGGGTAGATGGGAAGGGGGAGCACTCTGGATAATGGGTGATGAACAACAGAAAGGCAGCCGGAGAAAGTGTGGGGTGTGGCAGGACAACAGGAATCCAGAAGGCTGGATAATACAAATCCCTCAGCCCATCCCCAAACACAAAAGCTATACATTAACGAGTCTGCAGTTGTAGATCATTTGCTATAGGACTTTGCGTGTTCTTAGATGTCTGTATCTGTCTCTCACTGGATATCTGCATCAATGGACAATGCATGGGAACATGAATGAAATAGTGACTCTTTCCACAATTAAAAAATTTCGATTAAAAATGTATGTAGAACATCTGTATAGACCCATATGTCTGATATGTGTCCTCCCCATCCAAATTAGCAAATTTAGAACATTTTGCTTGTCTGACAATTTCATTTTGGTCAAATGTGTAACAGCATATTGAAGTTATGGGAAATGACTCCATGACTGGTCCCCAAATGGACTGAAATTATGGAAACTAGGAAGCTGCAAATATTGTGGAAATTGAGCCCTTAGGAAAGGAATTGACCAAATATCTCTTTTTTCTCTTTATAACCTTATCTATTAAGATAGTTGAACTTTATCTATTTCAATAGACCTGTTTAAAAATGTCCAGCTGACTCATGTTTCAAAGTGTACATCTAAAATACAAGAATACGGGACCTTTGAATAGAAAATGAGACAAATAGAGAAGGACAGGTTATGCAATATGGAGCTGTGTCTAAAGGAGCCATTGGTTTGATGGAACTTGTACTTCCCCTGAGGATTAAGCCCTCTTTCTTAGGTTCCTAGGATTATCCTAGGATGGGTGATGTCTCAGTCTGTCATGCACACAAGATCCTGTAGCCCCACCCTTTGGGCCTCACGGTTATCATGAATGTCTTAATTTGATGCTATGTAAAATTCAGGCCCCAGAGGGGACCATCTTGACAAATATATTAGAATTTCAATGACTGGTTCTAATTGATGGCTCCTCATCCTTCTATTCCAATAACTGTTTCTTATGCTCATATTCCAATTCCCATGTTTCTGACTGCTACACATAGTAACTTGCCAAAAAGGAGGATCCCAGAAATAGCTACGGTCTCCATTAGGATCTCTTCTACTCACATGCCCAGCACTGTGCCACGGTTTCCATCAGTGCAGTTGATTCTTTAAGACATGGTGTCTCCATAAGGCCAGCTAATGTGTAGCATATACCTTAGCATCAGAACTCTTGAAGATATTAGTACAGAGAAGCTCATCATACTGACAGACAGAATATGAGATGAACAAGCAAATGTTTGATGGTAGTGTTCCAGAGGTTCAGGATTTGGGACAGCCGGCTCTGGGAGTATGGGCTGAGCCTTCCCATGAGAAGACTGACTGATGATGCTCATCTCCCTTACTGGCTGTCAATTTTTTGTTTTCCTTTGTTGTTTAAAAAAACATTTTTTTAGAGGTATACACATAAAATGCATAAATATTAATGTATAGCCAGATGAACTTTGTCCTTTTATGTCTGGATTATTTTACTTACAATGTCTTCAGTGATCACTGATGTTGTGTCATGGATGAGAGCAAACTTCCTTTTCAAGGCTGAATAATATTCCATTGTATGTATATACCACATTATATTTATTCAATATCAGTCAATAGACATTTGGGCTGTTTCTGTCTTTTCACTGCTGTAAAGAAAGAGACTGTGAACCTGTCCTCAAATACCTGTTAGGTTAGGTTTGTATTCTTCACTGAGTATCATTTAAATACATATGCATTTGCATCTGCATGGCTGGAGAACTGGTTAAATAGCTGTAATATTAATTTTAATGTAATTATTTCATTTAAAAAAATTATAATTAAATTAAGTAAAGAAAGTTTAATCAAAATTTTAATTGAAATATAACTTTGGTAGTTCCCATGAAGTTTGAGAAATTACTGGAAACAGACTTTAACCCCTTTAACAAGGATTTAAATATATATATATATATATTAAATTCTATAAACAATTCAGGGATTGCATGGATCTTCAGTTTTATTCCTAGTTTCCAAGTTAAAAGTCTAGAGTTTCATTTAATATTTCCTTATCATGAGCATTTCTGGGGTTTTTGAAACAGCATATCTATTCTTCACTTCAGGAGCAGAGCTTGGCCTGTGTGCAAACAAGGAAAACACATGATTGGGTTATTATTTCTTACTTGATGCCCAGTTCAGTGTATTCTAAAATTTGAAACACTTACCAACTTCTTGTTTGGGTATATTTCTACATCTTGTTAATTATTTACAACTATAACAAAGAAATGACATCAGAGATGCTAATGAAGCCAAGATCTCCAATACTCACATGTATTACTGCTTCAACCAATACCTGTAATTACAACTGGCTTGTACACAGAGGCTAAAAAAATATTGAGGAGCATGAAAGAAAAGTTTAGATTGCCTTGAACAGACTATTAGTAGAAATATGGATGTTAAGAACCTGCAAAATATAGAAATATTAAATTATTTTATTGGGCACCTAAAACTTATATAATGTTATATGCCAGTTATATCCCAATAAAATATTCTGTTAGTGAGGACTCAGAAGGCAACAAGGGTTATGGCAGAGAAAAATCCATTTTGTCTCAGACTACATGTAAATCATCCTAAACAGACTTTTGCTGGAAATACAGATGACAACATCTTCTTGATCATTAGAGTAAAATATGACAGGAAAGAGATAAATTGAAAGGAGAACCATTAAGCATTAAAAGACAGGACTCCATGATTTTGAGAATTCTCAGCCTACCCAGACAGCATAAGATTCTAAAGTTAGGAGATTCACTGTCAGGAAAGCAGAGAATTGTTTTGTCTGGTAGAGAAAACCAGTGGTGTGGCCGGGAAAGCTCTTTCTATTGCCTCTGAAGGATCAAGAGGTCAGAATATCCAGCTTCACTGGAGGGTCCTTAAAGATTAGGTGTGTCATTTATGGATCCCTTCTACCACATTAGCAGAAACAAAAACTGTGGGAGAAATTATCTTGTAAAGATCTGTGAATCAGCCCCTTGTCTTGTAGAGTGGATTCCCACGACATACCCAGCAGATCTGCAAGTCACTTGAGAATTTTATTCCAGAGTAAAAACTGTCAGTTTGGATTAAAGGAGCAAAGAAAGAATGACAAGAAAGAAGGCCATTAATACCCCCAAATTAGAAACAGGTTGATAAACTGTTCAGCTGAAAACTCATGAAGGACAGGACAGCCCTGGGGGTACAGCAATGAGCCCAGAGTGCAGAGCTTTAAACTCACATGGCTGAGCTTCAGATCTCGGTTGGTTATTTCCAGTCCTTAAAATGTACTATTGTTTTTATGACATAAAAGTTCATAGGGCCAGACTCATTATTCCCTTCTATTTTGTATGATCATAGCTGTAAGTGGTATCTTATACCTGTCCCACTATGGTTTCTTAGGAGCAGATCTTGTTTCCTCATTTCACTGGTCCACAGGTGGATAGATATTTTACCTCTGGATGGATAATACCAAGACTCTCACCCATAATTGATTCAATTATTTGGATAATATAATTTGGGACTTCAGAGCTGGTGACTTTTAGATGAGATTTAGAATGAAATTGAATTGATGGTGTGGTACTTTGTGACTTCTGTGGATATTGGGATGTGGTGAATGTCTTTTGCATGTGGAATGAAATGAAATAATTGAATGAATTGATTCAATTATTTGGATAATATAATTTGGGACTTCAGAGCTGGTGACTTTTAGATGAGATTTAGAATGAAATTGAATTGATGGTGTGGTACTTTGTGACTTCTGTGGATATTGGGATGTGGTGAATGTCTTTTGCATGTGGAATGAAATGAGTATGTGAGGTCCAGAGAGCAGGACATGGTAGGAAGATAACATCTTCCCAAAGAAATCCACATCCCAATCTTTAAAGCCAGTGAATAAGCTACCTTGCATGGCAAAAGGATTTTGCAGATGTGATTAATATAAGGATCTTCACATGGAAAGATTACCTTTGATTTTCCAGGTGTGCTGGTGTAGTTCCAAGTGTCCTTCTAAAAGAAAGGTGACAGGAGAGAATAGAAGGAAGTGTGATGTTGGAAGGAAAAACCAATCATGTGTTTGCCAGTTGGAGGAAGGCACAAGCCAAAGAATGAAGGCAGCCGCTAAGGGATGGAAGATGCAAGAAAATTGCTGCCCTCTGGAGGCTGCAGAAGGAATGCTGGCGTGCATGCCTGCCCCTAGCTCTTCTACTGGGGAGACCCATGTTGGACTTCTGTCCTCCAGAGCTAACAGATAGCAAATGTGTTGGTTTAAGCCACTAAGTTTCTAGTGGTTTGTTACAGCAGCAGGAGGACACTGATACCACCATCATAGGTCGTCAACAGAACTCCAGGAGGCTTAAGAGATGTTGCCCAAGTCTTTGTATGAAGGCAAGTTTTGGGGACACTAATCACAGTGCCTACTGTACTGCGATTTGGACAGATTCTGAGTTCTTTGTTGCTGGAGACTCTATTCAAAGTGGGCTGATTTCCAGGTAATAAAGCATAAATAGACCTAAGGGAAAGATATAAATGAAATATATGTTGCCTGCATATTGCAAAATGGTCTGAAAGATGATGGACCTGTTGAGATGTTGTGGTGTCATGATTCAATAGTTGTTTCTTGACAATGCTGTGGATAATTCTCAGGAATTTAACTGAAGTCCTAAGATTCATGCTTTGTGTGGGGAAATAGCACTTCCATGTGTGAGGTCCTTTATTTGTGTTTCTGTGCCCTAAATGAGTGTGTCAAGTGAATGTCCCTTGAGGAGGGTGTCCTCAAGGGAATGTCTTACCTATGCTCCTGGTGAAAGTTGGATGTGGTTAAGATGTTGCTGAAAAAGACTGTGTTGAAGTACCCATGGGCAGTTGGTGAGGGGCATGTTGTGTCACTTCCAACTATGGTTGAGATCCTGTTAAAAGAGACTAAACAAAATATATTAGGCAGATGTGTGACTGCAAAGTGTTTGCCAGGAGGTGCTTGGATAGAGTTAGTAATTTCACTATGACCAGGCATGGGAGCTTTAATCTATGGGACCATTAGTTTACCCTCAGTTCTTACACACCCTTAGGTTGTAAGTTATAACTGATGAGGGTACACATGCATGAAGAGAAAAGCAATGAGTATTACTCAATAAGTAAGGCTTTTTTGGAAGAGCAGGACAGGCTCCCAAGCAAATCTGAAAAATGTCTTTCCAGAGCAGAGAGGGGTGACTAGCTTGAGTTTTGTGTGGTTTGAGGGTTGAGATGGTTCTCTCTCCTTGTCCTTAATTTCATGGTTTGAAACTCCCACTAGAAACGAATGAGGGAGCATGAAGACTTTTTCCCACTTTGCCGAGATGAGGGAGTGGGAGATAGTGCTTGAAACCTATCTGCAGGCAGACAGCAGAAATACACTCAGACATTTTGGGGGAGAAATAGTAGGGAAGAATCCATGCTGGTAAGTGGAGCTGCAGAGGACTATTCTTTAAATTTAGGCTTCTAGTGCTTTTTGCTGAATAAAAACTATTGGGTGTATCCCTTTACATAATGAAAATGAGTTTTTCTGTAAAACAAAGAGCAGAGGCTCTGGAATCAGGCATGGCTGTATTTAAATGCAAACTCTACCACTTCCTGTGTGTGCAACTTTGACAAATTATCTTAAACTCAGTAAACTTTCCCCCCTGTACATATACCTTCAGTGAAAGTTTTAAATGGAAGTTTCCATAACTTTAAGTTGGAAATATTTCTGAATTATTATAAAGTTCTCAATAAATATGTTCAGTTTAGAATTTTGGGTGAATGAGAAAGCAACCAGTGTGCTGATTTTTTTGATCCTCCAAGCAGCTGCAGGCCCCTGATGTCTTGAGTCTTTGCACCTGTTACCTCTGTTACCTAGGTCAGTTTTGTCTCATCTTCTAAAGAAAACAGAGCTGTGGTTTTCTTTCTCTACCAT